TCTCTTACCCTTTTATTACACTAGTACTATTTATTGAGAGTTATTAATGATTGAAGCATGGCTCAATAACTACTTTCTGGTTATGTTAAAAACAGTGAGTATGGGGACTTCCCTGGCCGCCCAGTGGTTAGGACTTCGCCCTCCAATGCAGAGCTAAGATCCCAAATGCCTCGTGGCCAAAAAACCAAAACGAAAAACAGAAGCAGTATTGTAACAAATTCAATAAAGACTTTAAAAGTGGTCCACATTAAAAAAAAAAATCTTTAAAAAAATAATGAGTATCAAAATAATTTACATATCTATTTCTTCTTTTCTCCTGAATCCACGAAGTAATAGAGGCAAAGAACTTTAACAGTGTGTGGCCCTAATCCTATTGTGGTTCAGTTTGACATTAATATTTTTTCAGTGGAGAGAAGCAAATTGACTAGTAGATAATATTTGAAAGACCTGGAACTACTTCATCTCCATGGCCATATCAGAAAAAACCTTAAGATTCTTACTAAGTTTTTCATTCCAATCACCTCAGCAATCGTGGCTGTAGAAAAAAACATCTGATAGCTTATTGATCAGAGCCTGAACTAGCTAGGTCCTGGGAACCTAATTATATTTCTATTATATATTAACAACAAACAATTAGAAAATGAAAATTTTAAAATACAATTTTAATGGCATAAAAAGCACTAAATATCTCAAAACAAATCTAACCAAAAATGAACAAAACCTGTACACTGAAACTATAAAACATTGTTAAAAGAAATTAAAGAAGACCTAAATAAATGAAAAAGTATACCTTATTCATGAAGTAGAAGACTTAATATTGTTAAGAAAGTAGTGCTCCCTCGATTGACCTCTAGATTCAGTGTAATTCTAGCAAAAATTTGTTCAGGGTTCTGTATATGTGTCTGTGTGTATATAAAATAATTTGATTCTAAAATTTATGTAGAAATGCAAAAGACCTAGAAAAGCCAAGGAAATCTTGAAGAACAACAAAGCTGGGGGATTTATATTACTAAATATCAACATTTATAATTAGGTTACAGAAATTAGGACAGTAGGACATTGACATAAGGATAGACAAATAAGCCAATGAAATAGAGTCCAGTTGAAAGTCCTGTATTGAAAACAGGAGGTGTTTTCAATAATGATGCCAAAATGGAAAATATGTATTTTTGAGTCCTACCTCACCCCACACATGCAAATAAATTCTACATGTATTGTAGATATAAATGTGAGTGATAAAACAGTAAGTAATTTTAGAAGATGACAGGAGAATATTCTCATGATTTGCTAATATTTTGTTGAAGATTTACATCTATATTCATAAGGAATAGTAGTCTGAAATTTTCTTTTCATGTGGTGTCCTTATCTGGCTTTGGTATCATATCTATGCTGGCCTCATAGAATGAGTTAGAAACTGTTATGTCCTCTTCAATTTGGGGGGAGGAGTGTTGTAAGGATAGGTTTTAATTCTTTAAATGTTTGATTAAATTCACTGGTGAAGCCATCTGGTCCAGGACTTTTCTTTGTTGTGAGGGTTTTGATTACTAATTTAATCTCTTTACTTGTTATGGGTCTGTTAAGATTTTCTATTTCTCTTTGAGTCAGTTTAGATATTTTTTGTGTATTTTTTGTCCATTTATTCTAGGTTATCCTTTTTATCTCTGTGAGATTGGTGGTAATGTTCCCACTTTCATTTCTTATATTAGTTTTTTTGTACCTTCACTCTTTTTCTCTTTGCCAGTCTAGCAATTTGTCAATTATGTTGATCTTTCCAAATAACCAACTTTTGGTTTCATTGATTTTCTCTGATGTTTTTATAGTCTCTATTTTGTTTATCTCCACTCTAATCTTTATTATTTCCTTCCTTCTGTTAGTTTTAGGTTTATTTTACTCTTCTTTTTCTAGTCCTTGAGGTGTAAACTTAGATTATTGATTTGAGATTTTTCATCTCTTTTAATGTAGTCACTTAACAGCTATAAATTTCCCTCTGAGCATTGCTTTCACTGTATCCCATAAGTTTTGGTATATTGTGTTTTAATTTTCATTCATCTCTAAGTATGTTCTAATTTCCCTTGTGATTTCTTCTTTAACCCATTGGTTGTTTAAAGGTGTGTTTTTTAATCCCACAGATTTCTCCTGTATCTTCAAAGAAGACACTTTGTATGATATTTATATTTTTAAATCTATTAGGATTTGTTTTGTGGCCTAACATATAGTCTCTCCTGGAGGATGTCCCATGTGCACTTGAGCAGAATGTGTATTCTACTGTTGTTGGGTGGAATACTCAGTGTAGATCTGTTAGAGCTGGTTAATTTTTGTTTATGGCGTGAAGTATGGGTCCAACTTCATTTTTTTACATATGGATACCCATTTGTTACAGCACCATTTGCTGAAGAGATAATTTTTCCCCATTGAATGATCTTGGCACCCTTGGCAAAAGTCAATTGGTCATATATTTATGGGTATATTTCTGCTCCAGGCTCATCTTGAATATTTCTTGCCCCAGTCCTAGAATCAGCCATTTTTTCAATGAGTCCTGATTTTTTTTAATTGGAGAATGATATTAGAAACCAAGGTCTGGGGACTTCCCTGGTGGCACAGTGGTTAAGAATCTGCCTGCCAATGAAGGGGACACGGGTTCGAGCCCTGGTCCGGGAAGATCCCACATGCCGCGGAGCAGCTAAGCCTGCACGCCACAACTACTGAGCCTGCACTTTAGAGCCCATGCTACACAACAAGAGAAGCCATCGCAATGAGAAGCCTGTGCACCGCAACGAAGAGCAGCCCCTGCTCGCCGCAACTAGGGAAAGCCTGCACGCAGCAACGAAGACCCAATGCAGCCAAAAATAAATAAATAAATAAATTTAAAATTTCAATCCTATTAAAAAAAAAAAAAAAGAAAGAAGCCAAGGTGTGAGCACTAGGTTTACAAGCTCTCGTAATTTTTAAAAATAATATAACTATATTTTTAATTTCCTCTAATTGCTCTGAGGATATTAATTACAGCTCTTTTAGAACTCCTTATATTTGTTCTATTAGTGGTGCTTCCTTGGATAGTATTAATCATTGCATTTGTTTAGTCATGGAGTTGGTTTTCGTTAAATATTTGGTGATCCTTATGTGTCTGTTTACATTTGCATTTGGGAATCCCTGTTTGCTTTTCTCTGGATGACGTTTCTGTTTTCTGTAGCCTGCTGCCAGTGATTGTGGAGGAGGGGTAAGATATGCAGATTGTGGAGGAGGGGTAAGATATGCAGACAGTGAAGTCTGTCAGCAATCCATTTTCTCTGTGTGTGGAGGCATTATTCTGCCTCTCTTGCCCGAATCCCCTTGTCCCATTTCAAGGGTGAATGCCTCTGGTGCCCGATGATTAGCTCAAATGGGGATGAAGATAGACAAAAAGGTCAGTCATTCCCCTGCTATCCGTATCTACACCCTTTAAACTTAAGGTGGCCCAGAGCTGCTCCCAAATTTCACAGTCATCTTCTGGATCTTTTTAGTCTTATAGTTTCTTTAATCAATCTAATCCCATCTACCTTATATTTTTCAGAGACCCTCAAAGTTTCTGAAGGCCCTCTTCATAATTGATTGTTAGCATTCTTTTTTTTTTTTTTTGGCTGTGCCACCTTAGTTGTGGCATGCAAGGATCTTCGTTGTGACATGAGGACTCTTAGTTGTGGCATGCATGTGGGATCTAGTTCCCCAACCAGGAATCAAACCCAGGCCCCTTGCATTGGGAGTGTGGAGTCTTACCCACTGGAGTCTTTGCCCACCAGAAAAGTCCTTTTTTTAAAATTAATTTTTACTGGAGTATAGTTGCCTTACAATGTTGTGTTAATTTCTACTGGTTGTTAGCATTCTTATGTTCATATTAAAACACACACACACACACACAAACACACACACACCCTTTTCTATCATTTCTAGAGATTTTGGTAGGGAGGGCATGTAGGTCCTGACCTCAGTTCACTGTCTTGGTCTAAAATCTCCAACATGAAAGAAGTTGGAAATATGAGAGTGGGAAGAAATATATTTATTGGGTTGGCCAAAAGGTTCATTTGGGTTCTTCTGTAACACCTTATGGAAAACCCCGAACAAACTTTTTGGCCAACCCAATACACGTACATGTCTGGTAGTCTCTCTTCACTGCCTACTCAGCAGACATTTTCCCACCTTTTGTCTGCCAATGGAACTTCAGTTTTGTAGCAGATGGAAATCACTTGATATCAGAGAATTTGGTCTAAACCCTGACCAAATTTGGTCTAAACCCTGACCAAGGAATAAATTACGATTGATCAAAACTATTCTCAATAACCCTTTTATCTTTACCAGCTATTGGCCTAGGGTGGGCATGTAACCTAATTAGGGCCAATGAAATGTAAAGGAAAGTCTTAGAGTGAGGAGTCTGGGATCTTCTCTTCTTGAATAATATAACAGAACCTCAAGAGGAGAAAGCCCCTTCGATCTCAATCCTTTTCTCCTGTAAAGAAGTGATGCCTGGGCTTCCCTGGTGGTGCAGTGGTTGAGAGTCCGCCTGCCGATGCGTGCCCCGGTCCGGGAAGATCCCACATGCCGCAGAGCGGCTGGGCCCGTGAGCCATGGCCGCTGAGCCTGCACATCCGGAGCCTGTGCTCCGCAACGGGAGTAGCCACAACAGTGAGAGGCCCGAGTACCAAAAAAAAAAAAAAAAAAAGAAGTGATGCCTGGAGCTGCAATAGCTATCTTGTGATCCTGAGATACAAGCACAAAAAATGAATAAAGAACAATAGAAACATGCTAGGTACATAATAAAAACACTGAGCTGTTGAATGGCTTCTGATTAAGAAAACAGTAAATGTCCTTATGGTTAAAGTCACTGCTGTCTAATTTTCTGTTACTTTTAGCTGTGTTCGAATATACCATGTAAATGGATGTAAAATAATTTTCTAATAATATTCTAAAGTAACATAGATTAAAATCTACTTCTAATATTTCTTACATTTCAATTTTTGTCCCCTCAGAATTAAACCTGGAGCAGCCAAAAATCTCTACTTGTTCACTAGAGGACTCTAGAATCTCAAAGAATACTGTATTTAGAAAACCTGCAGAAGTGATTTTCAATTTAGATCAAACTGCACAAAATTCAAAGCTAGAACAGTCATGGAAGAAAAATCTTTTTGAAAGAGTGCAGGCAAGAGCCCAGGCAATGCAGCAGAAAATCATAGATAAGGAAAATCTGAAGAAGGAACTAGAAAAAAAGGCTGAAGAAAAACTCCCCACGGATAATTTGGCCAAAGAGTGGTTTAATACTGAAAATATGACACTGAACACTCGTGCGTATTTACTCGACAAACTTCTACCCACCTTAGTTCCTGGAATGGAAAAAATGTTAATGCAAGTGGAAAAGAAAAAGCTTTTGGCAGAAGTTGATATTCCAACCAAGTTTAATCCAATTAACCATTTGGGGGAATACTTAATGAGAAACAACCCTAATTACATCAAAGACTCAGGAATGTCTGGTTATCAGAGGGTGATGAGAAATATTGCAGAAGACCTGAAGATAAACGTTCCAAGCACTACTTACAACAGGTACAGTTTGTTGTATTTTCAGTTGATGATCTAGCTCCTTATGTTGAAAAGCAAGTAGAACAATAACATAATCATACAAATAGGACTTAAAGTAACTTTATAGTTCTTCAAAAAGTATTTATTGAGCTACTACTATGTGCTTCACTATTTATGAGGCACTGTGAAGACTAACGAGGTATATTAAGTAAGTTCCTTGTACTGATGAATTTAGTTATCTCACTAGGATCCCAAGTGTATATTTATTTGTTTATTATTTGTCTTCTTGCATTGGAAAGTAAGCTATATGAGAGGAAGGACTTTTTAAAATTTAACTTTTCAGATAGGTAATATGTTCGCCTGGTTCAAAAGCTGAAACGTATAAAGTGTTATATGTTAAAAACTTTCTCTCCCATTCCTTTCCTCCATCCACGCAGTGCTCCACCTCTGCTATAAATAGCTACTGTTCTTAGTTTTCAATGGATCCTTCCAGAGTTTCTTAGTGCATACATAAGCAAATGCAAATATACATTCTTAATTTTCTTCCTTTTATCCAAAGCATGTGAATGAGTTACAAATATTTTCCTGTTTTTCACCTGTCATTTATCTTGTGTCATGTATAGGATTTTTTATTTCTATGTGGTCAAATTTATTTACTTTTATTTTATGGCTTCTGGGCTTTGAGTCATTGTTACATTTCATTTCAAGATGTTAAAAGAATTGTCCCATGTTTTCTTCTGGAATTATTTTAATTTTAATTTAAAATATTGATCCATTTAGAATTTATCCTAGTGTAAGATTTAAAATATGTATCCAACTTTTTCTTTTCCAAATGGCTACATAGTGAGCCCAATAACAGTTACTGAATAGTCTATATTTGTTCTTTTCTAATCACTACTGTCTATTCTTGTGTGTTTACTTTTCAATATGAACTTTAGGATTCGTTCATCTACCTGAGAAAAAGAAGAGTGGGGGAGAGAGAACACCAAAAGAAACGTTATAGGAATTTTTATTGAAATAAGATTAAATTTATTCATTATCTTAGGGAAAATCAACATCTTTAATAATGACAAGTGTTTCTATATGAGAATGCTTGTCTTTCCATTTGCTCATCTTATTCTGTATCAGTCAATGTTGTCTTAAAGTTGTTAGGAATATCATGAAAGAGTTAAAGTATTTAAAGATGCTTTCTTTGCTGAGATTATCAGAATTAGGGTTTCATCTTCCTCTGGCAAAAATCCAAGATCCATATGTCAACACAAGACAGTTTCAGGCATTTATAGAATATTCAGAAATCCTAGGGATGCTTTACAGCAGCACAATGTCTATTGACTTAAAGCTTGGATACCCAGCAATCTTAGCAAAAACAGTCCTGCTTTTAAATTCTCTGAACTATATCACTGTTTGTGGTGTTCTCAATCCATTAGAGAGCTTTGGAGAAGTCCGTTCATTTTAGGAATGAGTTTTCCTTACTTATGCTCAAGAAAAAGGACACATAATATTTTTGTTTGGTTTGTCAAGACTTTATCTTCTGGTGATAATGTTAAAGTGTCTGTTTGACTCAACCTGATCTGAAAATTTTTCATCTGCCTACTTCGCTGGACAAAAATGGATTCATCTTTGTTTGGTGTCTAAGTACGATAGATAGAGAAGACACTTCTTACTGATTCGGAACAATTTATATAGTGGTAGCCACTTATCTAAAAAATAAAATATCACTGCCATTTGTAATTTTACATAGCAATATACTTTCATTGCTTTCCCTCAGGGTTCCTGAAAGACAGGTATAGAATTGAAGTGGACTATAATTCTTACATGTAAATTTGCAAAACTGATAAGGAGGGTAGGTTTGTGTCATTTTGTTTTTCTTCATATTTTCTTTTCTTTTAGCATCTTTTCCCTCTGATTCTTGATCCCTCCAATTCTTGAGAATGCATATTCTATGTCACTACTGCCTTATTGTGAATTGATAATGAAAAATATTTGCACTTAAAGTAAGATTACAGGGCTTCCCTGGTGGCGCAGTGGTTGAGAGTCCACCTGCCGATGCAGGGGACACGGGTTTGTGCCCTGGTCCGGGAAGATCCCACATGTCGCGGAGCGGCTGGGCCCGTGAGCCATGGCTGCTGAGCCTACACGTCCGGAGCCTGTGCTCCGCAATGGGAGAGGTCGCAACAGTGAGAGGCCCGCATACCGGAAAAAAAAAAAAAAGTAAAATTACAAACTTTTGATAGCTTGATTATGGTGATGGTTACACATATTTATACGTGTTGAAATTTATACAACTATGCACCAAAAAAGGTTAATTTTACTGTATGATATATTTTTTTAAAAGTTAAACATTAAAAAGGAAGTGTAGAGAAAGATTATTAGTGTTAGAATTTTACACTGTTGCAGAGAAGTACACTATTGCACACTATTTTCTATCATATTGCACACTATATTGCATGCCATCTTCTATCATATCTATATTTCCAACACTGAGCGAAGTATTTGGCATGAGTTGGGCCTCAATAAATATTTGTTAGATGAATGAATTAATAACTTAAATTTATTGAGGAGTCTTCACAGTCAATCAGTATTTATGGCATAATTATTCAGTGCTTAATGTTGAGCCATACCTTATACAAAAAAGAAATACAAAATTTGGTTCTTGTCATGAGGAGCTTATACACTCTAGCTGAGGAAATATGACTAAAACATAGCTAAATTTATCAAAATAGTTGTCCAAATAGCACTCTCCCTACTTCCTACACTTTTATCAACCTGTTCCATCTGGTCTTTTTTCCAGGCTCTCTTCAATAAATGTCACTTACCAATATGACAACATTCTCTCTGCTTCTAGGCCCAGTGGAAAGTTTGCAGTCCTCATCTTACTTGACCTCTTAGCAGTGTTCAATTGTGTTGGCCATTTCCTCCTTGAAATGCTGTTTCCCTTCCTTCCATGATATCATTCTTTACTAGTTTTCCCTCTACCTCTGTTTAATCCTTCTCAGTATCGTTTGCTGGTTCATTCTTTGCTACCTGATCTTCAAATATTAAGGTTCCTTAAGGCATAGTTCTCCTATCACTCCATAATCCATCCCTGAGTGCCCTCATTACAACACATGTAACTATCTATTCAGTATGTGCACTTGGATGTTTCACGAGCATCTCAGTTTCAACAAGTCATTGTCTTAATTGATCATCCATCCAGATTTTTAAGCCAAAACCAGAGGGATCAACCTTGACACTTTCTACTTCCTCATTGATCACTTCCAGTCAATCATTAAGTCCTGCTGATTTTACCTCCTTCTTTCAAATCTATTCATTTCTGACCCTCCCCACTGCTGTCACCCTAGTCTAAGCTACCATCATCTGTCACCTGCAATATTGCAATAGTCTCCTAATTGTTATGTTTACATCCATTTTGCCCTCTTCCACTCTATCATTTACCTGTAACTGAAGTGATTTTTTTAAAGTTTAACGTTTTCATATTTTTCTCCAGTGTGAAATCTTTCAATGGTATCCCTTTATTCTTAGGATAAAAACCAAAATCCTTAACTAGGCCTATACAAACTTTCTTGTATGACCTGGTCTCTGACTTTCTTTCTAGCCCGGGCTCCCACCTCTCTCATTCTCACACTCTATACCCCAGGCATATAGGATTTCTTTCAGTTCTTCAAACATACTGTGCTTCTTTCCACTTCAGGATCTTTTCACATGTTGTTACTTCTTTCCCTTCCTCTTTATCTTATCCTCCCAGTCCTTCAGAGTTCAGCTTAAATACCACTTCGTCATGAATTTGGGTTGGGGTCTTCCCTTATAGGCTCTCTCATTGCATCCTGTGTTTCTTCTTCATCGCACTTATCAAAATTGTAATGGTTGTTTCTCCTGCTGTAATGTGAGCAGGAACTACATCTATCATATTCACAATTGAATCCCCAGCATCTAACACTGTGTTGTGTAAGTAATGCTCAATAAATATTTGTTAAATGAATTAACTGACATATTCTAATCTGGCTTAGAATGATGAAAGTTTTCTTCATTTTTTTTGGTACATAAGATTATTTTGAGATATGTCTTAATTTGGAGTAATTGAGTATTTAATTTCGAAATCTCTATGATTAATCATCTGTACTTAAGTGGGAGGCTATAATAAATGTTCTTCATCATTTTATAAAATTCCAAATAGGCCTAATTATTTAGCTGTTCAAATATCATTGATTAACCAGTAACTTAGATTTTTCTTAAGTCATTGAACCTTATGTCAGGAACTTCATTTCATAATAAGCTGTATATTGAATAAACAGAAGAAAATGTGTTAAGTACAATAACTAAGTAGACACATATCATATATGTATTTTTATAGGAATACTCATCACAGGAATAATGTGGACATGCTCCAAGAATGTCAAGAAGTCCAATTTAGCTCTGTGAAACTAAGACCATCAGAGCTTAAAAACAAACAAACAAACAAAAGCTGAGTTTATTAACTTGCCAGGCAAAGGAATCTACACCAGTGAAGAATTCACTGACTAGTTTGCTGAAGGGGAAAATTCTGGTGTTTTTAAGTGTTAGGAAGGGAGCTTTATAGTGGTTATAACAACTGAAGACGATCACACTGTATATAGGACAGAGTGAGTCCATAGGTTTGTACATGATTGATTAAAACAAGTTCTATTGTTTAGCAGTTGAGAAAGAGTCCTCCCTTAGGTCTAGTAATGGTCTGGTGTACTGGGGTCACTCAAAGTTCATGGTCAATTATGCACTTAAGCTGGTTAGAACCAGTTTTTATGAAATACAACATTCAGTTTTGATATAATCTAGGCAAATACTCTGAGTGGAAGATTTTCCATACACAGCTTGAATGGATGGATAGGATTTGGATTGTCACAATTAGGGTAAGGAAGCATTTTTACTTCTTTAATCTGTTAGATTTATACTGTACTTTTCTTTTAAAAAGCTCAAAACAGTTGTTAAGATGGCAAAACTGTTTCGTTAGTTAGCTTTTGCTGCATAACAAAATACCTCAAAACTCAGTGGCTTAAATAAACAATCATTTATTTGCTCATGATTTTGGACTGGGCTCATGGCTCATCTCTGATCCACATGGTATCAGTTGGACTCACTCATACATTGCGGTAAAATGGCAATGATAGTCTTAGTCATTTGTCTATTAGTTGGCTGACTGTTGGTAAAAGCAATGGAGGTAACTGGATCATCATCCAGCAGGCTAGCCAAGGCTTATTTCCAAGGTGGTGGTAGAAGTGCTCTTAAGTTCAATACAAGAGAGCAAACCCCAATGTTTAAGTACTTTTTCTTCCAGTTTTATTGTGATATAATTTATAGCACTTTTCAACTTTCTGCTTCCATCATGTTTGCTAATGACCCATCGGCTAAAGCAAGTCACATGGCCACAGACAGACACAAGAGATGCAGAAATAGACTCCAGCTCATAATGGGAAAAGCTGCAAAGTTACACTGCATACAGACAGACATGCATACAGGAATGGGAAGAATCTGTGATAATTTTTGCATTTTACCACACTGCAGGTTTTTTTCTTTCAGGTCTCCTTAAATGTGGATTTATACTTAGAATCTGCTTACAGATTATGGCTACCCAAAGTTATGAGTTTTGGATGCTATGGAATTCTGTTGATTAATTTAGATATCCTCTTGAGATAATGCAGACCACTAAAGAGAAATTTTATTCAGTCCCTGAATGAGTTACCTAGTAAATTAAAAATCCATCTGGATTACATTTGGAGTCTCATGTGCAGTAGCCCTGAAGCACAAAACTAAGTTTTGTTTCTAAATGTGGGCATTAATAAGAGGGAGGAAATGATGTCTGAACTGAGACCTAAAGGACGTGGAGGATCGAGTGAAACAAAGAGAGGGAGGAAGGCTTTTCAGGCAGATGGAAATAGGACAGAAACTCAATTTTGTTAATCTATGTTGATTAATACACATGAGAATCTGGAGACACCGAGTACTTATTACACAATATCACTTACTTATCTGTTCTGCAGTGGACCCTAAGCTTTATAATGGCAGAATCTATAGTAGGTGCTTGATAAATGTTTGTGTAACGAGTAAATAAGTAACTGACTTAGTGAGTGAGTGTGAATGAGTGAATAATGAGAAAAAGCTAGAAGAAGGACGCAGACACAGAACAGAAAATCATGCAGAAAAGACAGAAGTTGAGGAGAGTGCTGTATAGAGACAGGGGAAAGGGGAGAGGAGGATAGAGAGAGAGGGAGAGAGGGAGAGAGATAAAGCAGCAGGGGGAGAAAGAGTAGGGGAAGAGCAGAAGAAGAGCGAGCCAAGAATAGACTGGGGGTTCTGAGATAAGTGATGGCGGTTTGGCTAGTTAGTAGTCGCATTAGAGGAACTTAGCACATCCTTTAAAATGCTAATTAATCTTCCAGCAGTTCAGAAACAAGCCCTTCTGCACTATTTAACAACTTGCCTATTTTTATTTTCAAACTTCAAAGTTTATTTTTGAAGGCTTCTTTTCTTAGAGAATTTTGAAGGCCTTATATGGGCATAAAGTAATGATTTAGATTTTAGTTGTTTCTTTTGGATTATTGGAGTTCTCCAGTTTACCAGTTCTTACTGAGAATTCTTTTGCATTTCCAAATCTGTCAGATTGCCCTAGTCTCTCTTCTTTGAAAGATGAAGACCTGACTCAAACATTACTTGAAAATTGTATTTGAAACCAGCAGCTATTTTTATTATTCTGAACCATTTTGGTGTTTCAATCAAACCAGTTTTGGGGTTTTGAAGTCCTAGTAGGGATGATAAACATAGGAATGACTAAAATCACATTCTTCCCCCATTTTCAACCTGGGTGATGCAACTCTGTCTAAGTTAGCTATTATGCTCAGAGGCTGTCAAAAGTATTTGACTCCGGCCGGATAAAAGAAATTGACAATAAATTTTCCTAGACAGAAATCAGAAGTTTGGTCCAAGGCATCAGAATTACCTGAGATGCTTTTCATAAATGCAGTTTCCAGGCTCCCACCCTAGACTTGGAATTAGAGTCCTTCCAAGATGATTTACGTGTCCAGGGAAAAAAGAGGCCCACCACCTTGAGGCTTTAGTGCGTTCAACCTTGCTTTTATATGTGGCAGGTTCTAGAGCTATTCTTAGTGCTTCTTAAGTACAGTATTTAGTTGAGTAAAATAAGGCCTACCTCTATAAAAAGTCAAATAATAGTAGAAGGCAGCTTATCATTAATGCCAAATTCAGTATGTGCTGGGGGAAGGAGGGATCCCTACAGGCTTGAATGAAGGAAAATTTCACGGAAAAAGACAGATCCAAAGTTTAAATGAGGCTCTGAACTCCTGTATTCTGCCGTTTGAACAATCTGAGTCAAATCCAGTGGTCTCAACTTGACATTTCTTCTGTTTCTACATCCTTCAGAGTATCCAGGATGAAGGAGAATATTAAACAGAAACGAGAACAAATAGAATGCATGAACAAAGTCAAAGCCAAGGTGGCCAACACATGGAAACAGGCTCTGCAGGAACAGTTCAATGAGTGGATTCTAGACCCCAAAGGAATGATTCCTATGATAGTGGTAAGGAAGAGGGTATCTGTGAAGGGTAGGTGGAATGGGTGATAAGAGGGTGATTGCTAGATACTGAGCAGAGTGCTAGAAACCTCCCTCTAAATTTTTGGTCCTGCTAATGTAAGTCTAGCCCATGAAAGTCAATTTCTTCAATTTTCTCTTGAACATTAAAAAGAAAATTCTAGGTAGATTTCCAAAATATTGACTCTGGCTGAATTTCACAAACTCTTCCTTACAGACAGACATGGCTTTCGTTTGTTTTTTGTATGTGTGTGACTAATTACTTCTGTGGACTAAAAGACCATATCCTTTTTTGGGGGGGAGGCCGTGCCACACGGCTTGTGGGATTTTAGTCCCCTGACCAGGGATCAAACCCAGGCCCTCGGCAGTGAGAGCACAGAGTCCTAACCACCAGACCGCCAAGGAATTCCCTAAGAGACCATGTCTTTAGCTCTGAAAAATAACTGTACTCTAAGAGTTATATATGTTCTCTTAGGTGTATATAGATGTGAGAATAATTATTGGTTAGATACAATACCAAGCATATTTCCAGTTGCTAAAAATAGACCAAGGAAGACAAGCCACAGACTGGAAGAAAATATTTGCAAAAGACATACCTGATAAAGAACAGTAATATACAAATAACTCTTAAAATCAACAATAGGAAAACAAATAACAGATTTTAGAACGGGCAAAAGACCTGAACAGACACTTCACCAAAGATATACAGGTGACAAATAAGCATATGAAAATGTGTTCCACATATGTCATCAGGGAAATGCAAATTAGAACAGCAGTGAGATACCACTACACACCTATCAGAATGGCCAAAATCCAGAACATTGACAACACCAAATGCTAGCAAAGATGTGCACCAACAGAAACTCTCATTCATTGTTGGTAAAATAAAAAAAGGTGTGGTCACTTTGGAATACAGTTTGGCAGTCTCTTATAAAACTAAACACACTCTTACCATACAATCAAGCCATGGTAGATGGTCCTTTGTATTTACCCAAAGGAGTTGAAAATTTATGTCCACACAAAAGCCTACACATGGATGTTTACAGCATAATTGACAAAACTTGGAAGCAACCAAGATGTCCTTCAGTGGGTGAATAATAAATAAATGTGGTACATCCAGATAGTGAAATATTATTCTGTGCTAAAAAGAAATGAGCTATCAAGCCATGAAAAGACATGGAAGAACCTTAAATGAATATTACTAAGTGAAAGAAGCCAATCTGAAAAGGCTATATACTGTATGATTCTAACTCTATGACTTTCCAGAAAAGGTAAAATTATGGAGGCGGTAAAAAGATCATTGGTTTCCAGGAGTGAGGAGGGGAAATAAGGATGAATAGGCAGAGCACAGAGGAGTTTTAGGGTGGTGAAGCAATTCTGTACAATACCATAATAATGGATACATGTCATCATATAATTTTCAAAACCCATAGAATGTATAACACTAATGTAAACTATGGACTTTGGGTTATGAGTTTCCAGTGTAGGTTCATTGATGGTAACAAATATACCATTGTGATGGGGGATGTTGGTAGTGGAGGAAAGCTATGTATGTGGTGGTCGGAGGCAGGGAGTCTATGGAAACTCTCTGTACTTTCTGGTCAATTTTTCTGTGAACCTAAAACTTCCCTGAAAAATAAAGTCTTATTTTTAAAAAATGGACCAAGGAACTTCCCTGGTGGCACAGTGGTTAAGGATCTGCCTGCCAATGCAGGGGACGTGGGTTTGAGCCCTGGTTCAGGAAGATCCCACATGCTGTGGAGCAACTAAGCCCGTGCGCCACAGCTACTGAGCCTGCACTCTAGAGCCTGTGAGCCACAACTGCTGAGCCCACGTGCCACAACTACTGAAGCTCTTGCACCTAGAGCCCGTGCTCCACAACAAGAGAAGCCACCGCAATGAGAAGCCTGCGCGCCACAATGAAGACCCAATGCAGGCAAAAATAAATTATAAAAATAAAAATAATAAATAAAAATAAAAAATGGACCAAGAAGAGCTCAGAAATTTTGTTTTTAGTCATTGAAGACTGAAGAATTATAGAGGATTCTTTGGATTGCCAAACTGGTTGCCAAATTTGCCTTAGCTCCGTCATGCCCAATGTCTGAGTGTTGTTAGAAATTTCCTTAGAGGGGGCAAATGGGATCTGCTCAGCATCCTAGTTCTCACACAAAAAGGTTGAAAATCAGTGAGGAAATATATGCAAAAGCATTTTATATACTTTGAAATCTGCTATAAACTAAATGTTAATTATTACTATTTCTGTCCCTGGGTTAGAAGAATTACCTAGGACTTAAATTAAAAGACTACAGATGGCTTTTAGTCTAAAATACTTAATATATGCTAATTGAAAAGTAGTATATGGTCTCTTTTCTTTGATTTGCAGATTCAGAATGTCCTTCATGAATTTTTTCAAAATCCAGATTTCCAGCTTGGTAAGCCTGCCTGTTACTGCAGTGTTTATATTTTTCTCTGTCCTTTTTTTTGAGGGTGGAGGGATGCTGAATAAAGATGAAGAGTCATGTAGTCAAGCTCTTTTGCTCTTTTCAGTTGGAGAATGTAGAAAGGCAGAGATGCAATCAGTGATTTTTAATTCTTTCAGTCGAGTGCCCCATTTTATTACAACTATTTTGTAATAACCCTTTATTATCCTATCAAATTCCTAGAAAATATTGCTTACATACACAGAATTTTAAAAGAAAGATATAATGTCATAACTGTGATATGAAGGAGAGATACAAGTAAAGACATAAGAAAATTAAATTGTGCTGTATTTCAATATATAAATGCTTAGTTACAACTTCGCTAAAAGACATATGGAATAGTCAGACATTTGTACCTATTTATAATGAATATTTAGACATAAGAAAAGTAAAATTATATCCAATCAGTCATACTCTTTGTATCTGGCATTTTGAAATAAGAGCAAAATGAATGGATTTTTATATACATGTAGAATCCTCGGGCTTCTCTGGTGGCGCAGTGGTTGAGAGTCTGCCTGCTGATGCAGGGGACACGGGTTCGTGTCCCAGTCCGGGAAGATCCCACATGCCGTGGAGCAGCTGGGCCCGTGAGCCATGGCTGCTGAGCTTGCGCGTCTGGAGCCTATGCTCCGCAATGGGAGAGGCCACAACAGTGAGAGGCCCGTGTACCACAAAAAAAAAAAAATAAACTTTTTATGTACCAGCCCATAATAGGCAGGAAGAGTTATTCTTAGAAGTAGGAGAGGAAACCAGTGTATTAATTCTTTTATCATGAGCTTTCATACAATTTATGTGTCCTAGTAAGGTCAATAAGGATCATGTAATTGTCATATCAAATAGAGGTTTAAAAAAGTCTTTATTTCAAGTTTTGCTGTTTATATTTTTGTATTATTTGAATCTTTTACCAAAAGAATATATTCATATTTATTTAATTTTTAAAATATTAAAGACAAAATTAAGTATTTAAAAGGAAAGTTTGTGGAAGTGTTGTGTTTTAGGACCTTATAGCATAAATGCTAGCATAAACCAACACAGATATTTTTGCAGTCTTTTATACTATTGATGAGCCTATTTATTTCTGCTTTATCTTGACATGGTCATTAAAAATGTAGGCATGTTCTTTAGTGTTTGAGTTGCTTAGTTAAATAGAAGTCAGGAAAAATAATAATTTTGTAGTAATTGGAATGTTACCCAACTATATATCATTTACTCTATTATAAATATTGATGGACATTAAGAATTTTATGTTCTTTTGGAGTACTATGATATGAATATAAAATATGAATGTATCACAACCAAACTATCAAATAACCTTTGTTCCATAATTAAAAGCATGCTGCCAACAATTGGATATTGCTGACTCAATGGAACCAAGACTGAACAAAATGGAATTTATAGAAGTAAGTTACATTATTCATTATTTGAATCAAATTATTTTGCCAGTTTCAGTTGTCTTTTGGTGGATGTCACACATACATTAACTTAAATGAAAGCATAAAAACTTATTTTATCGATTCTAAGATGTACACTTTAAAATATTTTAACCCCTCTGAAGTTAGGTTACATCTTAGAATCAAAGGCATGTTGCAACTTCTTTCAGTCAGTGGTACTCATGATGCGTGTGAAAAACTTCCACTGACACCTTCGGGTAGGGCCAAGAAAAACCAGCTTGTTCTATTCAGTGAAATCTGGTTCTACAAATAATAATGAGGTTTCAAACTTACAAAGCATTTCCTATGGGCCAGGTGCTGTCCAAAGCTATCCATATATTAACTCAGGTAATCTCAGCAATCCTTATTCCTACTTTTATAGATGAAGACACTAAGGTACAGAAAAGGTAAGTAACTTGTACAAGGTCTCAAAATTAGTGGAGCTAGGGAAATTTGTATTCAGGCAGTTTGGCTTAGAAGTCTACATAAAATTACACCTGAGAAAGTATGATTCTACTGTAGTGGAATAAGCAAAAGAAGCAATTTAATAGTACCAGGGTCCTAAGTCTTCTATAGCCTGCTTTTATATTTTTTCATGTCTCTCCTCTAATTCCCCTTGTTTTTCTCTGAGTCCCAGAGTCAAGGTAACTTTCTCCTCCTCTCTTATACCCTGGCTCCATGCAAGGTGATGACTATGCACTATATACAATTTCAAGGTTCTATATGAAGGATTTCTGGAATCCTTGAAATGATTATCATACAGATAAGTATTTGTCAATCCTGTCTCAATTATGTTCTGTTTTCTTAGATTCTGTATTTGTCTATTTGGCATCCATTAGTCACAGGGCCAAACTAATGGCCAAAGTTGTTTATATGTCCTCCGTGATCCAGAGCACATACTCTAAACCACCTCCTTATTTAAATCTCACTCACCAAACCAATATTTCCCCTGCACTAAATCAACCCAGGGCCAGATAGATACCAAATAACTAGGGACTGCCCCTGTACCCCAAGGCCTGCTGAGATTATTCAAGCTAGCCAATCCTAAACTGTTTACTCTGCCCTACCTTGCCTTTCCTGAGGAAATCCCCAAAACGGCTCTGGCCTAGGCTTTCCACTTACTCCTGCTTCTGCCTCCAGACCCAAACCTGGTGCTTCCTCTGTGGCTTTGCATGGCATGACATGCTCCCTTCTCTTGGAAACTGTAAATAATAAAAAAAATCTTCTGTCAGTGACATTAGCTTCCCCATGCCAACACTCAGCCATCTCCATAAACTATTGGATTGGCCAAAAACTTCTTTCGAGTTTTTCCATAACCCAAATGAACTTTTTGGCCAACCCAATAAAATCTTGTGAGCGCAAATGAGAAAAGTTACTCAAAGAAAAATATGCAGAAGAATAAACTATAGTATTTAAATGGTTTAGAAAAAGTCAAGGCTTTATCACTTTAATGTAGTAATAAATGTAACTTAAATATCTTTGCAAGACACTGATTCTAGATGCTACTTGCCTTTTTGTCTTATACTAGTTTCCCTAAAATGGGGCAATTCAGAAAATTTTCTTATTTTTTAAAATATATAAGTAATACTATATGAATTTTATGGTATATGAATTATATCTCAGTAAGAAAGTAATATTCAGTTTAGAAAATTAAAAATATAAAGAAGAAAAAATTTTTAATCCATAATTCATTTTAATGGAAACATTATAATATAATTATTATAATTTATTTAATCATTTATTTATTGTTGGACATTTCTCATTATTCACTATAAATATGATGATTAACATCTGCATATAAACTTTTGTTTACAGCTTGATGTGGACTGAATTATGCCCCCTGCAAATTCACATGTTGAATTCCTAACCTTCCCAATGTGATTTTTTTTTAGGAGATAGGGCTAACAGAGGTAATTAAGGTTAAATGAAGTCATAAAGGTGGAGTTCGAATCCGATAGGATTGATGACCTTATAAGAAGAGAAAGAGAAAGACTTCTCTCTCTTTCTACATGCATGCACTAAGGAAAGGCCATGTGAAGACATAGCAAGAAGGCAGCCATTTGAAACCCAAGAAGAGAGCCTTCACCAGACACCAACCCTGTTGGCACCTTGATTTTGGACTTATCAGCCTGCAGAACTGTGAGTAAATACATTTCTGCTGTTTAAGCCTCCCAGTCTGTGGTACTTTGTCATGGCAGCCCGAGCTAAGACACAGTAATTTCCTTAGAATAGGTTCCCAGAAAGAATTACTAGGTCAAAGAATAAACATTGGAAGGATCTGGGTATCTATTGTCAAACTGTGCTTTTGATTATACTGATTTGTTCTCCCATTAGCAATATGTGAGAGCTTTCGAAGCACCATATTCTCACCAATAGTGGGCATTATTGCATATAAGAAATCTCTGCAATTTAATGGCATTTTGTTTTTTAACTTTTATCTTTTTGATTACTAATGAGGTTAAATATTTTTCTGTGCAATTAAAATTTTTTTCTTCTGTGAATTATCTGTTCACATCCTTTGCCCATCTTACCTATTGATGTTTATTTTTTCTTATGGAATTGTAAATGCTCTTTATGTACTAAAGACATTACCGTTTATGCTGTAAATTGCATGTATTTTTCAAGTTTCTCCAATTGTTTAAAAAATTTTAATGTGTTTTCTAACTTCCAAAAACTTTTTTTTTTTTTGTGGTACACGGGCCTCTCACTGCTGTGGCCTTTCCTGCTGCAGAGCACAGGCTCTGGATGCGCAGGCCCAGCGGCTACAGCTCACGGGCACAGCCGCTCCGCGGCATGTGGGATCTTCCCAGACCAGGGCACGAACCCGTGTCCCCTGCATTGGCAGGCGGACTCTCAACCACTGTGCCACCAGGGAAGCCCTAATTTCCTGGACTTTTTGAACTCCATGAATTCCCTTTGTTTTGGTAAAGAATTTCCTAATAATCTGTTTCAAGAGAAGTCTGAGAGATAAGTATGTCTAAATTTTTCTTGGTACATTTTAAGGCAGAGATTACCTTGAGTTGTCAAAAAGTGCCCATAATTTTTTTTGATAATAGTCCCACAAATGGCTGTATGCCCCTCTCCAAAAAAAGTTTCTGTAGGTTGATTGGTTGTTTGGAACTTGAAACCCATTTTCCAAATAGAAGTAATATTTTATATAGTGGTCGGGGTCCTTGTTTTCAAAGTTCCTGAAATGGAGTTCTTAATAATCATTAAGTAACTATTTCTGTGGGGGAAAGTGCTACCTGAAGAAGAGGGCAGGGCTTCCCTGGTGGCACAGTGGTTGAGAGTCCGCCTGCCAATGCAGGGGACACAGGTTCGTGCCCCGCTCCGGGAAGATCCCATATACCATGGAGCGGCTGGGCCCATGAGCCATGGCCGCTGAGCCTGCACGTCTGGAGCCTGTGCTCCACAACGGGAGAGGCCACAGCAGTGAGAGGCCCGCGTACTGCAAAAAAAAAAAAAAAAAAAAAAGAAGAGGGCATCACCATGCACTACCAGGGAAAGGAACTTGCTTATTTCTAATCCATTGGTGATGACTATATACGAGACCTTTAGTATGACAAGGTTCATGGAGTAAAGGGTAAGGATAGCCTCAGGTAGAAGAGAGCCTCCGAAGACCCCACAGTGAGGAACTGAAGGAGGCTGTCCTCTTATCAATGCAGATCATCCTTTCCCACCTCTGGGGGGTCCAGAGATTGACACACTTCTATTTCTACTGATACTAGCAATCGGCCCTTGACTGATGGATGTTCTTTCCCTGATGCAGTTTCACAGTTAGTCCCCTAAACCAGGGGTCCCCAACCCCCAGGCCGCACAGCAGGAGGTGAGAGGCCAGAGAGCCAGCGAAGCTTCATCTGCCGCTCCACATCGCTTGTATTACCGCCTGAACCAACCTCCCTCCAACCCCCCGCCATGGAAAAATTGTCTTCCACAAAACCGGTCTCTGGTGCCAAAAAGGTTGGGGACTGCTGCAACTGTTGCCTCAAAGTAATACAAAGTATAGATTTCTCAGACAAGAGTGAATCCTTTTAAAGAACTATTCTCTAGGGGTATGTGGCCTACTTATCAGTTCTGCTCACTCTAGGCACCAGAATCTTGACTCAGATTGTCATTTGTGTTCACCATTCCCAGTTATTTGTAACAAACGTTTAGGTGTTCTTTATCTTGTAATTATCTAAATACAACAGAAGTATAAAGAATGGGTGAATGCATACCACAGAATAATAACTCTCTATATAGTTTGCTTTATGTTTGTCCCAGTGGATTGGAGATGAAAAGATGCCACAGACACAACGCCTGCAAAGTTTCGTTTACAGATACTTACAGAGAAAGTTTGTTATATAAAGCAGGATACAACACAGCATGCTTCCAGAGGATCCCTCGAGTTCCCCACAGGGATTAGACTATTGGCATGAATCAGAGTAGAGGGTTTCAAACCATCCTGGTTTGCCTGGGACTGAGGGATTTCTCAGTATATGGGACTTTCAGTGCTTAACCAGGAAAGTTCCAGGCAAAGTGAGTCAGTTGGTCACCCTAATTGAGGAGCTTACTTTGCTTACTTTGCTTTTCTTTTTCCTTATCTCCCACCTGATCATTGTGGATGATCTCCACGTATCTACCTGCTCACCAAGGACAAGTGAAAACAACCCAACACCTTCCTGTTTACTGTGGAACTGGCTAAGGTTGAGGGTCAGTTTCCCAGCAGCATCCTTCAGTAGACATAGGCTTCAAGCAGTCTGAGGTCTACACCTGAATTATAAAATGGGCTTAAGAATAATTATATACAAAACTGCAATTTACTATACAGTGGGATTTAGATGTTAAGTTTTGATTCTGCCACACTGAGGAACCAGTGTATCCCTTGGCCAGGTGTAAATAAGAGCCAGGCCTCTGCCTAGACTCTCTTTTATGGGATTCTTTGTTCTTGCTCCAAAGTGGTCTGCTTTGAGATGGTCACTTCCTTATGCTCAGTTGTTTTATATCAATCAGACAGTCTGAGGCCTTCAAACTGACACAGCTCAAAGCTTAAACTTTAAATAGAGAGGCTTCATCAGCTGTACCCAAAGATTATACTTTAACATATTCTACTAAGTCCAGGCTGTGCATTTTCCTTGAGATGGTATGCATCTGAGTGGCTTTCTATTCTCTCTAGTTCAACTGTATTTTGTAATTTTTGTTTGTTTTGTTTTGCTCATTTTGTTTTCCATGTGCTTTGAGCTATGGCAGAGAAGGACAGAAGATGGAAGAATGATGGCTTTGGGAGAGGTAGAGGCAGCAATATGTTGTGAAACTACCTGAGGAAACCTTAGGAGGAAACAAGGGAATTTTAAGCCAGGGAAATGGGAGAGCCTATGGTAAACTATCCTCCAAGTTGGTGTGTGTCTTCCCAGGTGGTCTTCAACTGTAAGAAACACACAACTCAAGGAACTGTCTGATCAGCAATTCCTTATTGTTTGTATTAGTTTGCTAGGGCTGCTATAACAAAGTACCATAGACTGGGTGACTTAAACATCAGAAATTTAATTTCTCAGTTCTGGAAGCTAGAAGTCCAAGACAAGAAATTGGCAGGGTTGATTTCTTCTGAGAGTCTCTCTCTCCTTGGCTCGTAGATGGCCATCTTCTCCTTGTACCGTCACGTGGTCTTCCCCTCTGTACATGTTCAAATTTCCTCTTTTAAAAAAAATTTTTTTTGGCTGCACCGTGCAGCTTGCAGGATCTTAGTTCCCTGACCAGGGATCGAAACTGTGCCCCCTGCAGTGGAAGTGGGGAGTCTTAAACAGTGGGCTCCCCGCCAGGGAAGTCCCAAAATTTCCTCTTTTTTTAAGGGTACTAGTCAGATGAGGGCCCACCCTAGTCACCTCATTTTAATTTAATTACCTCTTTAAAGATCCTATCTCAACATACAGTCACATTCTGAGGTCCTGGGGGTTAGGCCTTCAACATATGAATTTTGGGGGCACACCACTAAACCCATAACGTTGCCTAAGCCACCTTTCACCAGTATGGGTTAGACTGTGTGTTTCAGTCTGTCACTTTTAGTATTATTGGATATTAAATGAGGCCTTTGTTCAATTCATTTGTTAAGCAAAGTTTTTAAAGATCAGAACATTTTTCTGCTTTGTTGAATATATAATTAGCATTAATTGTTTTTAAAAGTTCCCTGTCTGAGACTGGAAAGCTAATTTTCTGCCCAAATGCTATATGAACATATCACTTCTTCAATGATAGATAGCAAATATACTATGTGTATTTCAATATTCTATAGTTCTTGCTTGCAGACATTTCTGAAAACGTTATTTACTACCAAGGCTTCCAAACACAATTTGGAAGTTAATACCTAACATAAATAGTCTCCAAACATAGTTTTCTTCCTACTGCTCTCAGATCACCTACTTCATCAATCTTCCAGTATGTCTATAATTAAATAAGTGTGAATCCCAAGGCTGTAGAATCTAACAGTAGCTACCAACCTGTTAAGTATGACATTTACTGCATTCTCAACATTTTGATTTTCCTGTCAGAAAGGAAAATCTTAGAATTCATTATGTTGGGATCCAGCACACACAGACAACTTAATTAAGTACAGTTTTAATGTTTAACAGCTCACAAAGTGATTAAACTGAAGGATATTAGTAGTTAATCATATTCTTAAATTCATCTAAGCAATTATTTCAGGACTTATGGATATTAATTGACTCATTCCTTGGGAGGATGTGAAAACACAAAAGCTACCATATGTTTTCATTTTTTCTGTTTTTACAGGAGATACTGGCAAACTGCTATAATTGTTCTATTTGGAATTTGATTTGTAGTTCAGTTGGCATCTGGTTGTCTTTCATGTCATATAGCCCATGCTTACGGAATATGCTCACTCAGAAAAGCCATAGGCTATAAATCTAGAATGTTAAAGTGTCTCTTGGAGAAACAGTTAAACTAATTCTTGATTTAATAGCATTCCCACAGCCAGAAAATTCATATGGCTTTGAGGTCAATTCCCAAAAGCTTAATACAAAACAAGATGAATCTTTTCATGAATCAGTAATTTTTATTTCAGCATTAGAGCACTGAGCCACAATATTGCCAGAAAATGTCAATTATTTGGAAATTCTACCTTATCAGTAATTTAGAAAAGTACCTACTATTCAAGCAAAAAGTCATTAAGGATTGAACAATAGGATCTTAGAATACTGGTATACTTAGGACCAGTTGCCTTAGACCATCTAATTCAAACTTAAGTGAGTTTGAGCATAAGAATCACCCAGAGGGCTTCTAAAAACAGATTCTAGTTCTCACTCCAGAGTTTCTGATTCAGTAGGTTTGGAGTAGCGTCCCCAAATTTGCATTTCTAACAAGCTCTCAAGGGACCACACTTTGAGAACCACTGATCTCATTGAGTTTTTCCTTCTAAGATACGTATGTCAGCTGAGAGGACTTTTATTTTATAAAGAAAACCTTCTTGATCAATTTCTTACCTAGTTCAAAAGGAGACAAGAGCGATGGCTGCAGAGAACTTATTGCATGAAATACCTATACTCTACATATACAGGGTCCTCTCCATGACCCAGTGAGATAGCGACTGTGATAGCTATTAGGGAACAAATTAAGGAACTGGGAAGTCCAGTGACTCATCCCAGGTTACTCAACCAGTAAATATGGGAACTGGGATTTGACCCCAGACAAAATGTGAGGTCTTAACCGGTATACTATTCTGCTTCCCAAGTAACAGAAAAGAATTAATTATGCTCACTAATCCATCAAGAATAATGACAATTAGGTTGTTTAGGCAGTTAAGGAAATGAAATATTTAGAAAAGCTCCTTTGCTCTGTTTAAATTTTCCTCTTTTGATCTCTAAGCCAGTTGAATGATGGTTTATGATTCATTAGCATGGATTCAAGTCTAATATTTCTCTTACATAATATATCCTAAATTTGCCTATATGATATTAATGAGGAAGTGAAATATCGACTATAATCTTCATTTCAAAGATTATGTCAATGAAACATGCCAACAAAATGTTCCATTTCAAACAAACTGTATTAGTTGTTATTCTTTAATTGTAAGAAACAGGAACCAACCTGAGCTAACGTAGCTGAAAATGCAATGTGCAGAAAGCAAGGGCAGGAATTTGTTCTGGCTTCAGGAAGAGACTGGGATAGGGAGTTGGAGAACATCAAGACTCTCTTCTCTCTGCTTTTTGTTTCATCTGTCTCTGTGTACAGACTTCTTCTGCATCCTTAGTTCACATGGAGAAATCTGGCCTCCCAACAAATCTTAAGTTTACATTCACAGGTCCAGCCCCTCTCAGAGATCAGTTGGCCATTCCCCAGTCCTAATTCTCAATTCGCAGTATAGAGAATCTGAATGAGTTTGTTTAGGATAAGTATCCTCCCATGGCCTAATCATTTCTAGCTATGGAAGCAGGGTCATTCAGTACAAATTTGACTGCCACTGTGCTTGGGGCAGAGGAAGAAATCATTGACTTGTGAGGTAGGCTAACACCTAAAGAGGAGTTCACTCAGAAACTCTTCCAGTGGTTGATACACTGCTCTCTATCACAAGATACTTACAGTCACGTGTAGATGAAGATTGTAATGTTCCTGACCTATCAAATTATCAGAAATGTGGAAAGCAATACACACTGATGATGAGGCTGAAGAGAAACAGCCACTCATTCATTAGTGGTGGGAGTGCAAAAGGGTACAAGCCTGATGTCAAAACCTACCAAAAGTACAGATGCGTTTACCTTCTAAGCAAGCAATCCCACTTCTGGGAATCTATTCAACAGGGCTCAAGAGGAATAGCCCAAGAGCACAGGTGTTTTCAGATTCTAGACTTTCAAAAGAAAAAACAAATCATGGACAAAGGATACTTTATTGCAAAATCAGAAGATAAAAAAACCACCCACTCTCCCCATCCCTTCACTCCAATAATTAAATGTAGCCAGTCTTGGAGCACACATGCTCTTATATCCCCTACATCAAAAGAAAAACTACATTCAATTTTTAGAGCTATTCATTTATAGGCCACATTTTATGACTGCTGCTATTTCATACTGTGAGGTTAAAACTGCTCCCATATAAGACTGATGTGATCTAGAGGGAAATTGTTCCAAAAATATCTAGTCCCGCTTGTATATGGTGTTGGGGACTGTATTGATCACCTCTCTCTGCAGCATAACCTTGTATAATAACACTAACAGGAAAATACTTTATCTAAGTGACAAGCAAATGATATGGAAAAAATTGCAGTCAATAATTTCATGCACATCAACTGAATCCTTGGAAAAAATCCAAGTAAAGAGCACGGTTTTAAATCAATCATTTATCCTCTTTTTCTCCACAGTTCATCTATTCTCACATTGCAGGCTTTAAAAGTGAAATGTTTGAGGAGCTCCTTAAGCACCTTTGCCACTGTGCAGATGAATTCAGGGAGGTTATAAAAACTGACATGCGGAGACAGATGTTTGCTGAACTCTTCTTACATTGTGACCATGGGAAGGTAAGGTAAGACCCTTAAAGCAGTGCTTCTCAGACTATTTGTTATGAAGGACCCGTTTTTAGGTTGTTGTTGGTGGTGGTGATGTTTTTAATATCCAACCTGTTGTGGACTGATGAAAATGGATTACTAGGAGGGAAAAAGGACATACAAAATACAATTCACGTTTTATTATCAGATTCAAATCTGATTTATTATCATTTACTTTCTCAAGTTGCTATAACATTCTAGATGTTATTCTCAATTTCTGCCTTTCTCATCACAGATTACCGCTCGAGTGGCACTGTATTTCATGATTTATAACTTGTCCCTAAGTTTCTTTCCCATTCTTAAGAACAGTTTGCTTAGAATTGTTTTTGCTTACTCTCTTTGCTGGTGGCTTCCGATAGAAAAGAGCTGCTGGGAATAGAAAGCCTACCACATTTTATTCTGCTTCTTAAAAACAAGAAACATTTATATCATAAAGTATTTCTAGAAATAGGATTTGGGAAGGCATTAGTGTGCCAGGATACCAAATGGATTTGCAAAAATAGATACAAACTTTACTGAAATATATTTGTTTATGAACCTTATATTTATTTGTTTGTATCCCCATGTTACTGAAAAGATTTAAGGAAGCTTATAAGAATAGATAAAATACAACAGAATAACATAGATTAAAAGTAGGGTGAAAGGAGAAAAAAATAAGAGGCAGGATACTAAGTGAAGCTGGGAACAAAGCCCAAAATGCATACCAGAATGACCTAAATATTTGCTCTGGTTGTCTACAGGTCTGAATCTAATCTTCCTAGTAGTGAATGTGAAAGGGAAACATGACGAAACACACTACTGACAATGCTTTTAAGATAAATATAAACTGGAGCTAAGAAGAAGTGCAAAAATTTGGGATAAAAAGTATAGTCAGGAGTTTCTTCTGGAAGTACCCATTAAAGGAGCCCTAAGTGATGAAGTGAACATCTTTATGCTGGACGTACAATAAGTGAAAAAATGACTTTATTAGAACAGTTTCTTTCCTTTTTTTTTTTTTTTCTTGCGGTACACGGGCCTCTCACTGTTGTGGCCTCTCCCGTTGCGGAGCACAGGCTCCGGATGCGCAGGCTCAGCGGCCATGGCTCACGGGCCCAGCCGCTCCGCGGCATGTGGGATCCTCCCGGACCGGGGCACGAACCTGTGTCCACTGCAAAGGCAGGCGGACTCCCAACCACTGCGCCACCAGGGAAGCCCTTTTTTTTTTTAATTAATTAATTTATTTATTTATGGCTGCGTTGGGTCTTCGTTGCTGTGCGCGGACTTTCTCTAGTCACAGTGAGTGGGGGCTACTCTTCGTTGCAGTGCGTAGGCTTCTCATTGTGGTGGCTTGTTGTGGAGCACGGGCTCTAGGCACATGGGCTTCAGTAGTTGTGGCACGAGGGCTCAGTAGTTGTGGCTTGCGGGCTCTAGAGCGCAGGCTCAGTAGTTGTGCACACAGGCTTTGTTGCTCTGTGGCATGTGGTATCTTCGCGGACCAGGGCTCGAACCTGTGTGCCCTGCATTGGCAGGTGGATTCTTAACCACTGCACCACCAGGGAAAACCAGAACAGTTTCTTAAAACCACCTTACCTGTAGGTAAATGATACCACACCTGACAGCAATTCAGAAAAAGCAGTTCTTAAAGGAGCCAATGCATTACAGTCTAGGTTCTCAGATACCTACTAATTTGGCTTGTCAGGAATATATTTTATAAAATCTGAAATGTCTGTGTGTTTTTCAGGCAATCCTTGAAAATTGTTTCTTTTAACAGAGCTAATAATAAATATTGGGTAACATGGGTCAAGATTTTACTCCCTGACAAATGCCTGGAGAACAACTATTCTCTGTTGGCCAACTTAATACCAACTCATGTGCAGTACAAAACATTACCTCACATAGTGGGATATCCCACACAGTGGGATAATATTTAGAAGAATAACTCAGGTTTGCTTATGCTTTTTGCTTTTCTTCCCATCGTTCAAACAATAGTTATGTGCTGATCTTCGAAGGAAGGTAGATACAGTCTAGAGCAAAGAAGTTAATTGAGTTTCTGAAAATTTTCAATGAGGAGCTGAGACAAGAGTTCAAAATCCTCTACTTTCAATTGAAAATACTGGGATCTTGAGAAAGAATGGAGAATCATAGGGTGAAGAAGAATGCAAAATATGACATCAAAGCACTTTTTCTGTCAGTGGGAAGTTGTGACCAGCTGATGGGAGAAGGAGGTTGGAGGGGTTGTGACTACTGCTTAGGGGTTGCCTGGAACCCTAAGTCAGAGTTAATATCTGATATTACACCCTTATACCCCAACCAGGGTTGTATGTTGAAGGCAACATTATAGACACTTAGAAATTCCAAGTAGGTTGAGGAGAAATTTAAGAACACCAGGGCATCATTATGCATAATGATCATTATGCATCATTTCCTGGGTGTAGCTCAGAGACTGCAAGCTTCATTGAGAAGTCCTGAATGCAACATGGCACTAAAGAGGAAGGTTAGCCACTGCAGAAGGAGGGGTCTAGGTGGATGAGCCTGAGGGTAGTCCCACTCCTGTGGCTAGAGGAAAGATAATGAGTGTTCCTAAATACCTGTGTGTAAAGGGGGTGGGTGTGCAGAGATGACAGTAAAAGTTCTGGAAGTACCCCCAGGAAGTGTCCAACACTTGAAGTTGGGACAAGGAGAACCATGGGCATTAACAAAAAACACCAAAAAAAAAAAAAAAAGGTCCACTTCCAAATGATTCAGTGGGACGAACTCCATATGGTCAGAATCAACAAGTACTACTGGCACTGAACTAATTGCCCCTTTATTTGATGGTAGGACACTGTGTAAGCCCCCAAAGAAAAATGGGCAAAGGATATGAACATAGAATATGTAGAATCACTGCATACTCAACAGATGAGCAAAAACATTTTAAAATTACAATACCAAAAATAAATAAATAAAACAAAATGATAATACCTATTGCTGGTAGGGATAGAGGAAAGGCATTTTCTCACACATTCCTGGTGAAAATTTAATAGTATAGTATCTTTGTAAAGCAATCTGGATATACCTATTTAACTAAAATTATACACATCCTTCAACCAAGTGATCCCATTCCTGAAATTTTTATCCCAAAGAAATAAAAGCACCAGTAGATAGAAAATACACGTACAAGGATGATTCCTATGGCACTGTTTACACACGAAAAAGAGAGAGAGAGGGATAGATAAAGGGAATGTTTATCTGTAGGGAAATGGGTTTTTTTTTTGCAGTACGCGGGCCTCTCACTGTTGTGGCCTCTCCCGTTGCGGAGCACAGGCTCCAGACGCGCAGGCTCAGCGGCCATGGTTCACGGGCCCAGCCGCTCCGCGGCATGTGGGATTCTCTCGGACCTGGGCACGAACCTGTGTCCCCTGCATCGGCAGGCGGAGTCTCAACGACTGCGCCACCAGGGAAGCCCGGGAAATGTTTTTTAAA